GTATCCTCAAAACTGTTGAGACAGTTTAGTTAATTATATTATATTAGGGGATTTGGCTAGTAAATTTGCTTAGATTAAGTCTAACTTGATTGAAATGACATCTTTAACAAACTTCATTCCTTAAAATAAATAACAAATAAATTCCATTCTACAAGTGACGAAGAAATGGAAGATAATTAGGAAATTAATAAATTAAATTGATTAGATTTCAATGCGTTTTGTTCTTCCCTTTGAGCTCCCCTAAAGCGTTTTGACGTGCTTCTCCATATATTTATTATTATTATATCAAATGGCAGGCGTTTTGATTGGTATCATTAGCCCTTTAGTTGACTTCAGGCTTCACAGAGGGGAAGGAACATCAAAGGGAAAAAAATCGAGAGGGGGGGGCAGAAGGGTTTCAAAAAAGTAAAAGAGGCAGACACAAAGGTATAAAAAAGGTGAGGTGAGTACTGTGAAGTGGTGGAATATGACTTACAGTGGGGTGATGGTAGTTTGAAGTGAGAAGTCAACTGCCGAATAATAGACATTTTTGCCGTATGAGTATACGTTGCTTCTCCATATATAATGTCTCTAATCAAAGCCTTGGACAGTATGCCGTCAATCTCTGGTCTGATAGGACTCAAATAATCGCGAATTCCATGAATAATAATGGTAATAGTAATAGGCCTTCTAGTTTGTTACAAATACTTACAGCTGTCAACTTATTATACTTGTAGAGGGTTGTTACATAACTATGCCTTGACATATGCTTCGTAAATCCCCATGGCATGCTCTCCTAGTTTGTAAAGGCTTCCAGTATTGTCTAGATTATCCAAAGCTATAGAGGAACCAGACGCATCATGTGGAATACGTTTAATTGGGTTGTTACAGACAGGGAACTTAGTCATTATAATACAATGGAGGGTTTGCTAAATCAAGTAAGGACTATTGATTGGCGGTTGTCTGCGTGGTCTCTGAGCTCATGACCGCACTTACTCCCTAGGCGAAATTGCGTGTCTGCAACCTCGAATCTGTCTGAGTGCGAATGGGACTTCTTCGTTTAGCGATGATAGTATTGTGCGCTCCAATGCTTACGTGAAATAATTAAAATAACGTTTCATTTAATTTGCCAACCAATTTTCCTATCAAGAGACTTAACTAGAAGCGCTAAAATTATATTTCTGCCATATTTTTATTATGGCATGACGCACACCTAGCAATTTCCATTCTGCAAACAGTTTATCTGAGTGATGGTTCTCTACCGGTCATTGGTGACGCAAAAGCTTCTATTACTTTATTCAATGAACTATTATGGTGGCACAAAATTAAGCCATCTCATGCTTCCAGTGTTCAACTACTAATTACTTGCCACTCTATTGCATGCCTCGAATTCCAATGAAAAAAAGATGTTGGGCCCAGTTAACGGTTTACTTAGTTTCAACAGAATTATAAACATGAAGACCTTCCCAAGACCTTCGATCTGTCCTAAATGGAAGACAGAGAGGGTAAATTTTATCAATTCGAGAGATTTTCGAAAAAAATTAGTGACTGGCACCTCACGTCATACTATTGAATAGGATGAAAAACATCATACTCTATATTAGTTTATTGGAAAATTACAAAAAATGTAAATTATTATTTCATAACGGCATACAAGAACATAATTGTGGTAGAAACAACGGCGAAAGCACATAACAGAAGAAAAACGAATTTTAAAACCTGTGTTAGCAGACTGTGTCTGCGATATTTCTTGGCATAGGCCATCTGAAGATCGAAGTTTGGTTGTGCTTCTCCTCCCTGCAGAACGTCATGAGGAGCTAAAGCTTCAGGACCTAGTCCAAGTGTAACTAATTCGTCTGGACAGGGTATATTCTCCGGACAAACCTCAACTTGTCTCCGCTTATCACCGCTGCAAGAATCGCCATAGAGACATCCTCTAATTCGTTCCCTATGTCGAATCTTCCCGTTGCCACAGGCCGGTGAACACGATGACCACGGACTCCAATGCCCCCAATTACCACGCAAGTTTTCACAACGCTCTCCATAGGCTTCTTCAGGGCATATGCAAAGAGTTTTCTATCATTTCTACTTATAGACTTTAAGTAGCATTAGCTTACAGAGCCATCAGCAGAAGAAATACAATCGCCACGAACGCAAACTTCTGACATACATCGGTCTTTAAGGGCCAAGCAATTTTCATAGTCAAGACTGTAATCTTTCGTCCACGTAGATGGACACCTTAAATTGGATCGGTTAGAACTATGGTAGTCTTTACCTGCATTCATAGAAATCACTTCCATATGTAGGGATACAGCGTCCTCCTTGGCCAATATTACAAGCCATATTTCCAGGCATTTTCTCCTTTTCCGACAGTTCAATGCAGGGATCGCGAAGTAGACTGCATGTTGGGCCCATATGTGTCAACTAAATTGACAGTTCAGTGGAGAGTTACGCAACCCACCTTACATGCACAGACAGCAATAGCAGTGCCTAGAATTATATCACACCTTCGTGTTCCAAATGGGTCACAATAAGTTTCACATATGTCTATATTCACGCAGGCTCCAATTTCATCTGAAGAAGGAATTCTTTCCCAGGTATCATTTTCAAAGCCTCCAATGTCCGCACTGGACACCCATTTAAATCCAGGTAGACACTCACATCTAAAATCGTTCATGAATAACCCGCGACCAATTAGGTGGCACCCATGTCCTGTCGAATGAGAAATAGTCAAACAGGGGGCTGTGGCACATGGGTTAGGGCAGAATCCCATTGGTAAATCGGTAGGGAGAAGGGAATCATCACCCCGTAACTCAGAGCAAACATGAAAAATGAATGTGCTAGTGAGTTCATCCGTCTTTTGCGGAATGGAAGCTACGGTTTTATGATCCTCATATTGGCTTTCCTGCAATGTTCTAAAGAAGTTATTACTTTCGGAGATGGCCGTCCAAAATAAGAGTCTCCAAGCGTGCATTACAAGAATAAATACAGGAAGATTTTTCGATGATAGAAAAGGTGAGTGTTTGCCGTTTAAAATAGGTGTAAACATCTCTGCTCTAGCTTGGTTTTTGTCTTTTGAAATTGGATGGTCATCATATTCAATCACGCGTAAAGCATTTGACTCAATGTGTTGCCGAAAATCTTTAGGATGAAATGAATTTAGCCATATATCTTTAGTCGATTGTGCGACGTTTTTCAGACTGATTTCTCGTCCAGTTATATTTTTGGCCAAGACAATAAATTGTTTGACAAATTCGTGGACGTGGAATTCAACTTTTTCAAGTCCTTCGACTTTTTTTTCTTTTGGTATATCAAAAGTGATCTTATCGAAAAGAGTCTTTTTACGACGTAAATATGAAGGAAAACCATATTCACTGGCCCGCAATACGAGATCCATCATATCAGAAAAGGGTGTAAAATGGGGAAAAAGAACATTGACCATTTCATCTCGGTTTGGGGTTAAAAATTCGATTATTTGACCATCTTTTTGATATTGGCAAAATGCAATACATATCCAAAGGCAGAGCAAAACTAAACGCATTATTTGACTTATTGTTCGTCTACTTAAACTATTATGTTAATTAGACAATTATTGATTCTGGTGAAAATAAATTTAGCATCCATGACGTAGCGATTGAAAATGTAATGTTCATACTGTGGAAATTGATTTACGTTTGTTATATAATTAAGTTATTTTGCCATTCGAATGCCATATTATATTTACGAAAAGTATTTTAAGTGTGTGGGACACGTTATCGCGTTGTGCGTCATCGTATGCCTGCATGTCTGCTCGCCAGGATATGTGGGACACGTTATCGCTGTGTGCACCATCGTATGTCTGCATGTCTGCTCGCCAGGATTGGGAGGTCGGCCGTACAACTCTGGGTGCAGCGACCGTACAAACAGTGACCACTAGCCTCTGTTTGTTTGACCTAATCCGCCATCCTGATCATGATCGAACCGGCGACCTGGGAGGTGCGACCGTACAAACAGTGACCAATCATTAACCTCTGTTTATGACCGTACAAACAGTGGCCAATCATTAACCTCTGTTTAACGCGACCGTACAAACAGTGACCAATCATCAACCTCTGTTTAACCTAATCCTCCATCCTGATCATGGGTAGCTCCATGCGTGTACACTTGATCCGCAACGTACGTCCCGAATAAACGTGCTCCTTGCTACACGTCTGTTTCCTTCATAGCTGGGCTATGACTTAGCTGGTTCTGGGAGTCTAGCTAGATGTTGGAGAATCGTTTAGCTGGTTCTGGGAGTCTAGCTAGATGTAGGAGGATCTCCCATTGAGATTTCTGAGTCAGTCAGGCTTTACTAGCGTAGCCAGAGATTTCTGAGTTAGTCAGGCTTTACTAGAGTAGCAATATTTCTGAGTCAGTCAGGCTTTACTAGCGTAGCAATCCGTGGAGCTATAGCTTAGCTGTTCTGGGAGTCTAGCTAGGTGTTGGAGAATCTGCCATAGAGATTTCGGTCAGGCTTTACTAGCGTAGCAATCCGCTACAATGCAATCCGGTCAGGCTTTACTAAGGTAGCAATCCGTTACAATTCTCAACAGTCAGGCTTTAGCGTAGCAATCCGCTACATGGGCTTTAGAAGTTTTCTTCCCTTTTGAATATCGCTAATTTATATTATTTTGCCTCATCTTAATTTCTTTGCAGACATATATTTAAGTATTAAATAAAAAGTAGGAAAGTTTACATATATAGAGTGCTATTTAAAAAAATTTTACTTGAGGTAAAAAATTATCGCATTCTGTTGTTTACGGCGTTTATTGTTTGGAAGGAAAGTCGTATTGGTTTAATCAACAGCCTCAATTAATCAAATTTCAGTACCGGTGGAAAATCGTAATGTTTATCCTCCTGTTTTCAAGGCAGAAACTATTACTTTAATCAAGATAATCATATAAACCCAAATAATTATTAAAAATTAAAAAATAAAGTGTTTGGGACCAAAGAAGATAAACGAGTTTATAGTTCAATAGTGAAATAGAGTAAAACTTAACTGTACTTCGTTTGAACGCCGGGACTTGGCCCCCAATTTCCTTATTCAATCTTTTGAACACCAATGTACTGGAAGCCCATCCCGACACATTAGCTCTTTGGTGACCAGCACATTAGTTTGAGTTATCAGTGCTAATCAACTACTTATTATTATTGCTCACTGCTCAATTGGTACTTTTTCAAATTGGTGATCATAGGAAAGCAACAATTAAAGTGGGACAACAAACCATCCCAAAAGGTTTGAAAATCGGAATGTGAGTCATATATATATATTTAATGAGTGTTAGGTCCTAGAAGTAAATTAGTAATGCCTTAATGTTCGCTCTCCATCATTTGACATCTACGCTTTTTTTATATTAAATACCTATTGACTGGATGACTTACTTCCTTGGTTAGTTTGTTCGCCCCGAGTTCTTCTTTTAGAAAGCGATATTTTATGATTAATTTGAGACCATTAAAATATGGCTTTTTAACTCTATTAATATTTCGATTTGTTTTCCATAAGATTTTTTGAGTTGAATGATAAGCATTTTATTGTAGCAGTTGGTTGGCAATGTCAGCTGTTCACTGTTAGCAAAGGCCGAAGGATAGAAATATTTATTTGTTTATATCAAATGGCAGGCTTTTTGATAGTTATCATTAGCCATTTAGTTGACTTCAGGCTTCACAGAGAGGAAGGAACATCAAGGGGAAAAAATTCGGGAGGGGGGGGGGAAGGGACAGAAGAGTGTTTCAGAAAGGTAAAAGAGGCAGACACAAAGATAGAAAAAAGGTGAGTTGAGTACCGTGAAAGTAGTCGATTATGGCATGCAATGGGGTCATGGTAGTTTGAAGTGAGAAGTCAACTGCCGGTTAATAGACTTTTTTGCCGTATGAGTAAACATTGCCCAGGGTGCACCACGTGGAGGTAAGTCCATTGCACACCCCAGGATCGAAATATTTGAC